CTTATTGTTCAAGGTATCTGGGAATATATGAATTGTTCCCCTGTGGATGAATAAGGTGACCGGACATCTCTCAGTGGGTCTGAGAGATGTCTAATCATCAGAAGATCTTTTATAATATGATATAATCAGTATTCATTCAGTGAGAGATGGACCTTGTCAGTAAGTGCCAAGTGAGCAGGTATTTCTTGTCTGTGAAAACATATTCATGTAGGCTTTCAATTGCAAGGTGAGCTAGAAATAAAATAGATGCGTTTTGGGGGCTTTTTTGCAAGAATTTCAGAGATTTTGCATTTCGGAATCATTTTAGAATCTTGGCATCTCTCCATGACCATAAGCTGTGAAGAACCTTGACTCTACTATCATGTAACACTGCCGTGTCATTCTATTGGTGTAAGGACCCATCGATTTAGCATTTATGCAACAAATTGCATTTAGCTGACTGTGGGCCAAGTCAATCAAAGGCTGGGCCTGCTGTGCATTTTGGCAAAAGGTGGTGATTAAACTAACTTGGAAAAGCGAGGAGGATTTCTGTTTCCTCAACCTGACAAACACAATGTAGCCCTCTAGCAGTACACAGGACTGGTTTTCCACCATTCCTCTCTTGGGTGGGAGGAGACAGGTGGGTGCGTTTCACCCAGGTTTGGCACATTTAGCCCTATGAGATATGTAGCAGAGAGACATCCATGGCTTAGAGCAGAATCAACAGATGGACTTGGTGTGCTCATAATGAATCACTATCCAACAGGAACAGCTTGAAATCCTGATCAGCCCCGACGTGGGTTGGCTCTCATTGTAGTAGATTTGATTCTCCTTCAGCGTAGTCCACTCTCCTCCACAAAGGGTCATCTGTGGACAACATTACAGTGCTATGCTCCCAAAAACAATGTATTTTTTTCTCTTTTTTATACCTATTCTGAATTTATTTTTAACAAATTGGCAAGGCTTACTCATGTGTATATCAGTAAGGTTTTCTATGTCTGTGTTTGCCTGTAACACAGTGGTGAGTATTTGACCTGCAGTATTGAGGGAATAAGTCTAACCAAAACATATTGGGCAGTATTATATTAAAAAATATTGTCCTGTAGGGTTTATACGCTGTTGTTCAGAATATAAACTGTCAATCTAATATTCAAGTAATACTCCAGTCTCTAAGTTGTACACCTATCTGAGAGGGTAAGTACAGACAGTTTTCTGAAGAAGTATCTTAGGCTGCATGAAATCCTCTTAGAAAGCCTTTTAAATCCCAAGTTTTATGTTCATGCCACTTTCAAAAATGATGAATTAGAGGAAAGAGTTAGGCAGTAATAAACAACCATTATCACTGACTACTAGCTAACGTGATTAGCAAGGAACATCTGAGTGCCATTGTACGATAGCACTGTGTTGCCTAGCTACTACTACTACCACTAATAATAATAATCCTGTTTGAGCAGTTAGTAAAGTAAACTGTACAAAAATGCAATTTAAAGCTTTAATAACTTTCATAATAATTTGGATAATAATAATAATTTGGTATTCAGCTATTTTATTTTTGTTTTCTGAATCGCCATGCATCGAGTTCCCTCTCTTCAACCAGCAGTCCTTCATTTAATTCTACAAATAATTTGGATTAATAAAGATATTAGTGGCTATGTAACATATAATCGGATAAAAACTTTGAGGAAATTTGACCTTTGCATCTACATGTTGTCTGTCACTAGATCAGATAACATTGGCAGCGCTGACATGCCTGTTTTAGTGATGTTGGAACAACAAGGCATCTCAAAGATTGCCGTTTGTCCCCATTCATCTCACACACTGCTCCCACTTTAACATATTGGCATTTCTGAGGTGCTTGGCGGTAATTGTCAGCCACATGGCGGCACCTCGTTTGTTTCACTGACATTTTGCCTTTGCTTGATTGTGTATTTAACAGGCAAAGGAAAGCAAAATTAATTGGAGAGCGGCCCTAATCTGTCGGCTTGAAATGTCACCCCTGTATTGTGATGAAAACGCTGACACAGTGGCACTCGGCACAGACGAGATGCGGCAAAAGAAGGATGCAAGAGTTTGTTGAGGAGTAAAAAGATGAAATGGCAACAGAACTACAGTAAAGAATGATAATAGAGGAGGGTAGAGGATCTGTAGACTATTTCTAGCAGTCAGTGGTGGTCAAAGACCTTTTCCTAAATTGGTTGCAAGTTGCCAAATATGAATGTTTTGGGTTCTCTGTAGTGTTTCTGTTCATAAAAGATATTAAGAACTCACTGACACTTCATACAAAGCAGAAAGAAAGATGATTTATTGTCAGTATTCAAGCTTCCATGTGAGGCATAACTGAAGAAGTATGAGCTGATCTTAGTGGGCTTCATCCAGGGTTCTGGAGTTCATAGTCAGGCTCAGTCAGCTGTGGTGTTTGAAATGACACTGCTACAAGGATGAGCTCTTTGGAGCGCTGACAATGATAGTCTAGAAAACCACCCACTAATGTCACACACATAATGACAAAATATCTTTTTGTTTTTATATTTTCACAGTTACTTTCCTGGTGGCTTATCCATTATTACTCTATATAGTTCAGTCTAATTCAGCTTTCAACTGGAAAGGAAAAGCAGAGCTTCCCAATAAGGGCAGAATGCTATATATATATACATACACACATAAATATCCATACACATATTTTATCATGCATAACAAAATATGTTCTGCCTTTTTATTGATTAGCATTGCTATAATGTACATGTGATGCATTTGGAATCTGCAGCTGACCTACAGGGCTGCAAGTAATAAATACAGCTCACATGGTCACTGAAATGATTGACAGGAGCAGATTGTGTTTGTCTTATTGGTCATGACACCTGATAATAAAGGTAAATTTTGCTTTCATCACATATTGTGTCCTTTTCTGGCTCATTTCATCTCCCTTAAATCACAATCAAACTTTAAAAAACTAATAAAAATGCATACTCATTTCTGTCACAGCAGATTGCACATTGCTCATTTGTCCAGTACTCAAAAAATAGAGTGATTTGCCAACCACCTGATCTACTAGATACAGTAAGTGCTTACCCAGCTGCTACCTCTTAGCCTGTTGCTGAACTCTTGCTGTCTTGATATGCAGCCAGATAATTTGCGTTCTCCACTTGTTTTTCCATTTCTTGTTTGCTCTTGTTCATGAAGATCTTCTGCCGGTTTTCAGGTGCACCATCTGCCTGTTGACTCCTTTGAGTTTACTGAATTTGACTGCCTTCACTTTTCTGACTGTAAGCTCGACTTTCATTTTTGTATTAAATTTGGTACATTTTTGGATACAATACTTGTGTTATTTATTTTTTTTATTTTTGTTTTTTCAAATATTTTGTGGTATGAGAATAATAGTAATTTGTGAAAAAAAAAAAAGAGTCAAACAAAATGATCATTCCTCAATGATTGTAGGTTAGCAGCAGAAATAGTGCTATTGTGGAGGTATGTAAAGACGACAGAAGAGGTCTCAGTGTCTCACTCCAACTTTATTAACTGACTCAGCAGAACTCCACATACAAAAAGCGCCAAAATCTCCACCCCAGCGCTTCCCTTCAACTTGGGTGTGAGAATGACTTTATTTTATGTTCTGAGAAAATTATTAATAAACTCCATTTACTGTACAATGTATTCTCAGTTTAAAAAAAGAAAACAATATCCATTACCAACCCTCCTCACTACCATGCATTTCAGTATAAGGCTCTAACATCTTTTACCCTCTGCTATTGCTGATATGTAGGGTAGCCACATATCCTCTTTAAAGTAGATCTATCATACTTTTAATGCACTTTTTTCAAATAGATACTTTTACAATGGTGGAGGCTCAAAGTTTGAAATAAAGAGGTATGAAAATGTAGATAAAGGGGTATAAAGGTAAACACTGTCTCATTGGATTTGGCTAAACAAACAAATAATGTTCCTTACAGTATTTTCTACTCTTGGATTTGTTGGAAAGACGGCATTTTCTTACTGTGGTCTGGTTGTGAGCACAACAGCTCAACCTGTATGCCATTTTAGACTCAGAAAATCAGCTAGCTATTTAGGCAAACTTTATTGAAGGTGATTTTTTTTGGATATCGAACAAATCCATTTCAATTTATTTGGCTTTCCTGGGGAAGGGAGTGCAAAACAACTGCCTTTTTTGTAACCAACAATAATAGGACCAACATGTTCTTTCGCCCTACGTCAAAGAGGAGTCTTTTGTCAACAATCCAGGATAAATTAGGATTTTTTAGCTTGCCTAATAATAAAAGAAAGATGTTCCATCTATAAAAGGCAACATTGAGGAGAACTACATTCCCCAAATATTTGCAGTTAGACTGAACAGCTTGTTTCAGTAAGAACAATGAGCCTGCAAGGTAGCTAAGCTGCTTTGTATATTTCTACAACCCATTGCATGTAGATGCAACCAACATTTTGCAGCTACATCAAGCCAAGTAAGCCACAGCAAGCAATTTAACCCTATCAAACGTGCACACACAGGTACATGAGCAGTTGAGTCAAAAGTAAAGCAACAGAGAGCAAAGGGGGTGTGTGTTTCACTTGCCCTATTTGACAAGAAAGGTCATTCTCTTTTTCTTTTAATGGTGGCCAATTTTTATTTTTAACCGTGTCACAGAATCTCCCACTAGGTTTTTCACAACAAGGTCAACTAAACCTTGCAGTGATCAGGTGAGCCTGAAACCTTGTTGAAAAGGAAGAGGCCAGGAAGAGGCTAGTTTTGTGCAACCAGCAACCTGGAATTTTTTCCTTCCCAAAAAGTGCTGGAATTGGCTCGTGATACTTTTGTAAAAATGCTATTTATAAAACTCTCCACCATCTAGTTGCCAATGTTATTGACATAAAATCTTCAGTGGCTTTTCCATGACGTCAATAATGCGCCATGAAAGGGTCTGACTCACAAGCATGAGTAATGGCATAGCTGTCTTTTGTTAATATGTGAAGATACCTCCTTAGTCTGGTTATTTCCCAACAGGCTTCAAGTGAGGGCATTGACAGTATAAAGTATTTAAATAATTAAATGCTTTTATTATTAGCACTGGTACAGGTGACACACTTGTGCTGTCATTACAGGGATGTTACTAAAAGCTTTAGTTAACATTTTTCATCAGCAGAAACCTAGATAAGATACTACTTAGATGTGCAAGTTTATTTACTATAATTATTTTTTACATTAATGAAATTTTTTCAAAAATAAATATACAACAACTGCTTTGACTAAATACTGTAGCATTCTGATTAAGCAAACATGATTTTATTACAAGAGGCTTCAGTGTTAAACCTTTTAGAAAAAAGTTTAACTTTATAATAAGGTAACATTCACTTTACCTCAGTGTTTCCACTGATTGACTACTAATAATTAGTGTTGGTCTTATTTACATGTTTTCTCATATGTTGCTTCATTTTTATCTTCTTTGAGTAATGGCATGATTTTCATGCAAAGTGCTGGAGGAGATTTAATAATAATAATATATTCCAGGTTGGTCGTGTCGTCCAAGGTTCATCTCTGCAATTTCAAAATAAAAAAAGAAAGAAAGAAAATAATAATGAAAAATTAGGAAAAAGAAGACAATTTTCCATAAATAATCATTTTGTTTTCTGTGGATTTTTTTCCACTTGGCTTGTATTTCAATTGCAATGTGCAGAAAAAGACAAATGAAATGTATTCACCCTCTAAATGTCAGGGTTATATATTTGTGTTAGCAATGATTATACTCATCTAAGCAGGAAATTATTTTCCCATTCAAGCATCAGCGCACCCAACCAGTTATACGCTGTATCATAGCTGCTTGCTGTTTCTGAAGTTTGGACTTACAATAAACATGCGGAGACACATTCCACACATAGCAACAACACTGGAGATCTGAAGTGCCCTGCCACACTCTGGGCTCATCAGGCAGTTCCTTGTCTTCAAGCAGCACGCGGGACAGCTACTCCCCGATTTCTCTGTGCTTTTACTCTTTGTGGGTGTGTGTTTTTTGGGTTGAGTTTGCTTAACATCGTCAGGGTTTTCCTCCCACACTTCACTTTCACCTCTTCCCATTGTGAGTGTTTGTTCTGACAAAAGTTGAGCTTAGTCCAATGACTTGAGAGCTGATGGTTCAGATCTGTGAAGGAAATGGCAGAAAGTAAATACGCCGTGTGTGTAGCTTCATTATAGCAGAATTTCCACAGGGAATTATATGGGCCGCATTATGTGGCGACTCCCACGCTCTCAGGCTTTACAATACGAGCTTTGTTTACAATAACAACATCCAGCGTCATAATGCTGTTATTACACTTTGTCGTGTTTGTTAAGATTTCACTGCTTCACTGTGTGCCATGACTCAAATGTGTTTCTTTGCCAGTGCTGGGTTTCATTTCTTTATCATCTGCGTCTTACATTGTTTTGCAGGAATGCTTTCAATTATGCAGATAATATTGCTTCTTCCTTGGAACTGCACAAGACATTATATGCTCTAAAAGAAAATCCAGTAACGTACAAAGAAACATTTTGGTTCAGTGTAAATGTGACATCAATGTCTACAGACAGGACACTGCCTGAATCGGTGTAATGATATATGTCTAGTCAGTAAACAACAGAGAGCTGAACATATTATGCATAGAAGTGTCCCATTTCATTAAAGAGAGATCATTTTTCACAAATGTGAATCATTAACACTACAGTCTAAACTTAAGTCTCTTTACGAACACTTTATTGAGCGAAGTCACATTGATTTGACAGATTAACAATCTTTCCACACTGATGATCATCTCTCCTGCCAGGAGTTGAGGCCCCCTGTTTCAACTGTCGGATACAATTGCTCCCCAAAGACATTATCAGATATTAAGTGATAACCCTGATGGTGAAGTAACAACTTATCTGTGCCATCCAGTGGCTACCCATTTATTAACACTGACAGTAAATTAGATTGCTGGCATCTGGAGGGTATACTGGCATTTTGAATGCACCTTTCCATCTCACCCGGCTTTCAAAACTCCTTTGGATTTCAGTCATAAGTAATGAAATTCCATCACCCTCCTCACCCATGAAAGCAACTTGGAAAGGAAGTGAGAGGAGGCCATTAAGAGTAGAGAAAAAGAGTAATGGTCTTACCCTTTGCTTTCAGAGTCACCTCGCTGTCGGTTCTAATCTCTCTTTGTAGAGTAGACTTTCCTTAAAGGACTGCTGATGATAGGCACCTTCACCCTTACAGATACTCACACCATCTTATGAAAAGCTGAGTTGCTGGTGTTATTGTCTACCTCAGTGAAATGAACAAGAAGGGTGTGTCTTCAGGTTTAACAGGTTTGACAAAGATCACTGCCTGAATAGTTTTACTTAAAAAGAGCAAGCTATGTGAGGACTTAAAATGTCTTAAAGGTGCAGGCAGTATTAATAAATGTAAAGAGTTGTAAAACCATTGCTATATATGCAAATACTTGTCTATCTCTGTTGAATTGTGAATTTTTAAATATGTTTATTGACATGTGTTCTCGCAATTATCATTGAGTTCCATGTATTGTGACTTACAAACTGCGTTTTAGATAGATGACTGAAGTCTCTGAAGTACTTATGCAAATTAAAAGTTCATTATTCAGATCCATTCACAATCATAATTTCTTTTAGTCGCCAATAACAAATATGTTTCTTCTCGTCTCCGTGGCAGCATATGCTGCTTAGGGATGTTGTGAAAATTCCATCAAATTTTAATAAATAATTAGACAGAGTGACTTGACTAGACTGCACAGTTCATTACATGATGATCAATGATGAACCGAGAAGAACAATTTCAGGAAACAATTAAACAAAAAACAATTTGAATATACTCAAATAGCTGCATTTCATTAGGAGACTGGATTACTTACTAAACTATTCATCATCTGTAAATGCATCAACGCAAAAAGCACAGTAAATCACTCATTTTCTCTCGAGAAAACATGAATAATTTTAGCTTGCATGCTTATTTATCTAAGTATATAGACTTATTTTATCTTTGTATTTGGCCTGTGTGCTCTGAAGTGATATAATTATGTGTGTCTCAGGGGGTTATGGGTGACAAGAAGGAATTTTATATTTTTATATTCTCCACTTTCATCAATAAATGATGAAAGAAAAAAGGGAAGTATTTTCAGGCACTTCTTTTTTGGAAGTGCATCAATAATTTTATCTCTCATGTACAGATCAATATTATGCACATTTCACTATTTAACTGCTTATGTAAAAAAAACAGACAATACAAGGTAACAAGATTGAAATAAAAAATACGCTTATTAAATGAAAAGCATATACAACGACAACATTTGGAAAGTAAACAGTATTAATTAAGTAATAACATGAAACCATCAAATAATAAAGATCTGATAGTATGTTAGGCTACTGAACCATTACTACAACCACTACTACAATGATATAATAGAATTGCATATAGTAACAAGATAAAAAGTGATTAGACACAAACTTCTTTGTCAACTTAACTCTTTATGGAGCATTTATGATCATTGTTAGGATTTTGATTTGCATCATAAAAGCGAATGTAGAGTCTTGTTAAATCCTTCAAAAGCCCTCTTCGATTGAAACTTTTAGTTTGTGTCCTCTAAAAGTCTAAGCCTTGGTAAACTACGTGTTCCTATGCAGCTGGATATAATCAGGACTGTGTGTGGCAGTAAGACGTGATGAGGCATTTGCGTTTCACTTCATCATTTTTTTTTATTTCTCTTCTGTCTGTTCAGTTGCTCTATTACCCAAGCAGGCAATTTCTTTCAATATCTGGCAGAAACATGACAAGCAGTCCATCTCATCAGATCACAAACCCATGCATCCACTAGAGTCCCCTGATACAGCATGACAGTTATTCCTTGGCACAAGTACTCATATTGTCTTGGAATGCCTCACACTTCTAAAACCAACCATTTACGGGACTCTAAAATGCTATAGCTAACTTAAGGAGAAGAAGAAAATACCTGTGATGTTAAAGATGTAAATGAAGAAAGAATTGTCAGGGTTCCTGGGTCGGTGACCCAGTGTTTTCAGTTCACACTCACTGTTTATCTACTGCCTGTTCCACTTCCTGTTTTATTGTGTTAGCCTTGGTCTGTGTGTATTATGTTCAATCCTCTTCCCATTATCATTAGTTCATTATGTTCAGCTGTGTACTCACCGGTCCCTCATTATCATCAGTCTGTGTATTTAAGCCCTCTGTTCTACCCATTCAGTGTCGGGTCATTGATGATGTTGTTTCTGTCGTGTGTTCCATCCAGTCAGTCAGTTAGCCAGCCAGTCTACCAGTCCGCTATCCATCCATCCTATCATCTGTTGTCTACTGTTAAGGTTCGGTCGAGTTAGGGAAGAGAAGAAAGCAAGCCCAAGTCGAAGTAGGTGTCAAAAATAGTGATCTTTATTACACTCTGTGCACTAAGAGTGGGAAAAGACAATTTGCAATCGAATCCTCTCGTCAACTGAAGCATCAGTCTCCTTATATTGCCTTTATGACATCACAGTTGGATCTTTACTGGAAATGATCTCAAATGATAACAATTCCCCGCCTATCCCAAAGTTTTCCCTTATATAGACATCAACTGCTACTCTTAAGAGAAAAACAAGTGTGTATTACATTGTGCATTTTGTGAAAGTGTATTTATCCGAAAAACTGTCCTCAGATGACCCTCCTATTATTACTAAGTGTGTAGGTGACCGTGCGTGTGTTACATAAGTGCGTGCATGTAAGCAGAGACCGGCGTACGTGCAAAATTACACGCAGGCCTGCCAGGGCCCAACAGGACTCGTGGATCTGTATAGTGTGACTGCTCTGCTCTAACGTGCAACAACTTTATATAAACAGTCAGTGTGGATTAATATAAACAATCAATGTACATTAATATTTGCTCAAAGTAACACAGATGTAATTAAAAGATTATACTGTCAACAGATTCAACAATGGCAAATGAATAATCAATGATAACTGATTGTGAGAATACAAAATAAAATATCTCCTGATCACACTCCTCCTCTTTGGCCTTTTGAAAAAAGGCCAACATTTAGAGATATTGTGTCACTCCTCCGTCCAGGCGGCTTCTCGCAACGGCATCATATGTTCCGGACCAGCTGACCCAGCTGAACCAGAAGCTATGGCCCTGCTCACCAGATTACCCAACACCTGCCTCACCAGAGGAATGAGACAACACCCGATCAGCAACAAACCTAGAAAAACTAGAAGAGAAAACATGGCAGACATAAACAATCCCTTATATTGCCCAAAAACAGATGTGAACCAATCTCCCAGCCTTGAGTTCACGCCTGATTGCTCATGCATGGTTCTAGATAACGTTTTCAAATTTTCCAGCGCCCGCGTGACTGTTCCGTCCGGAGCTGTATTGTTGGGAATAAAGGTGCAACATAAATCTCCGAACATCGCGCACACGCCTCCCTTCTCGGCCAATAACATGTCCAGCGCCATGCGATTTTGGATTCCCATTAACGACGTCGGACCTAATTGTTCTGCAAGACCTTCCACCGCGTCCCTGGTGAGATTAGAGAGTCTCAACACATTATAATGAACATAATTAATGCGATCAACATTTTTATTTGGAGTCACCCACAGAAACACACTTTCAAACCCGGCCGCTATCTGATCAACTAACTTATACTCATCTGGAACTCCTCGGGGAACTCCTATTGAGTCTATCCAGGTTGGCGAGTCCCGTCTTGGATCATACTTGTGGATAGCTCCTGCGGCTCTCCTCCGTCTGGCTGTAGACACATTCGCACCTTGCTGTGGAATTGTCTCTAGCCTACTGCCTATGAGCATCAAAGGTGCCGCTAAGCGCACCAGAGCACACGTTCCCACACTCCCCAAGGGAACCTGCACCAAAAGGGTGTACTCCCCACAATAATAATATAGCCCACCTCTCGCCCAGGTGCCTATAATTGTGCTTGGGTCACTTACATCATTGGTAGTCCTACCTGTAATTGTCCTCTGGCACCAGCTTGGATTAATCCTTCCTAGCCTAAATCTCACTCTGTCTGTAGAAAACTCAAAACATGTATAATTATCTCGTTTTGGTGTGAATGAACCTGGTTGTGTGCGTTTATCAATTGGCGGATATAAACCTGACAAAGTGGTGCAGTTACCTGTGTCCACCGCCTCTCTAGTTAATCTCAACATGCAATTATATCCCCACTCATCCTCTGGATACAGAGGAGCGGGTTCAGTAAACAAATGTGGTCGAGCGGTAGCACAAGCAACACAATCAACCACTTTCTGCTCCTTAGCATTTTGAGCCACCCAATCTAGCCAAAGATTCCTATCTCCAAAACCTGTGGCACGCTCTATCAACTCCTGAGGTTTTAACCTAGTATAATCAGTGGCAACAAACCATTTTTCTTCTGGATCCTTGTAAGTTACTGTCTCTACGGGATCTGTTTGCACCGTGAGATTCAATGCTGAGTCATTTCCCAGCGGTTTAGCCCTGGGATTAAATAAATTCACCCGAATTAACCCGAATGGATCTGTCCCTACTTTATCTACCCCTACTACTAAATAAAACGCACCTCCATCAAACCCAGGTTCAGGGAGTTCACTCCATGGTCCTAGGGAAAGAGTAATAGGGTTATTTGTAACAGAATAATCTCTCTGAATAGCTATTCCTTCAAGGGCCGGTGGCACCGTTGGCTGCCATCCTACTCCTGTCCACGCGACCACATCCTGCCAAGAACACCACTGATCCGTTACATAGGTGTAGATGTCACTATCCCATGATGGGCCCCACACCGACTTAGGGTAACACATCATTGGATGATAACAAACCCACACATTATATGTTCTCCAGCTATTCCCGTCACCCGAGCATTTAATTATCTCACACAAATCGAATGTGAACGCTGTTGTAGATCCATTAACATACCCAAACTCGACTCCGCCACTGGCTTTGAGACACCCATCATCCCCACCTGAACCAACCGCACGCTTGACTTTTTTCGACGACTTGATCGGTTCGGGCTCAGGAGCGGATAGACCTCTGTGTCTGGGCAATTCACCTGTCTGCCAAAAAACAAAGAAACACGTTATAACACTTATTAACCCCAACACCCCCGTTATTTTCCAATTTTCCCACAATTTCATGATGACTGTTCCCAGGCTCGTTTACTTTTACTCTATACTAAAAAGATGAAGTTACAAAAAGAGTATAAGGTTATGAGTATAAAAATATGCGAGTAACATACAAAACTATTACGATTCCTTCAAA